TACTTACTTGTTTACTTGTTGCGGCCGTGATCATGCCTGATTTAGCCGGCCTCTACTCGCGGACGCTACTCGAACAAAGCATATTCTGAGAACCGTTTATTTTTGCTACGAGGTTTCGTAGAAGCTGATTTTCACGTGTGCGAGGCCGTGTCTGCAGCCGTCATGCATAATATCTGCAGAATTTGGTCTCTGCGGATTGCTTATATGAAAAATCTCCTGTGGGAAATATCACGGCTTCATCTCCAAAATAAATCTACAATCAATTGGAGACATTTGCTGGTAATTCAACAAAATTTCACCGACTCAGTTGGTCCGGTTAATCAGCTGGGAACCGACAACTCGTCTGTGACCTCATCTCTTCGAATCCTCGCCCGGGTTCGTGCCACAACAAGCTGCAACATAGGCAGGCGTGGTCAATCCAGACTTGTAGGGAATACCGGGACCCGCAGTCCTCAGCGTCTGGGAATGAGTTTAAAGGACTAATGGCTGCTAGAGAGCCTAGTCGCTGACGACCGGGCACAGGCTGTAATGATTATCGTCTAGACCAGTAGTGGTACTAGAAGATCATACTGAAGGCTGAATGTTCTTCTATCATTTTTGGACAACCTCCTTGATGGCGACAGTAATACGAAGTGGTCGTAGGTCCGTTGAGGTATTTCACCGAATAATTTGAGATTGTGCAGTCTTGTAACATGTAGCCGAGCTCCGTGTTTTCTCGATACCTGCAGAGTGCTCTACAGGCCAGCTGCGTGTGGTTTTTGTCCCCAGCCGTAATTGCCCGGCAGGTAGCAGGGTGGTACCCAAGCACATCTCGAGTTTTCACTTCCTAGAGAATTGAGTCATTTTCTTCTTCATTAAACCAACAAAGTAGGAGAAAGGGCTTTCACCGGGAGAGGTTTATTTTTTTTTATCTCACGTTTCGGATGGTTGTCTAGTCTATCCATCTTTAGAGAGTGAATACTCTGGCTTCTGGTTCTCATTATATGGGGTGGCCTACGGTTAACACCTAGAAACGCGAGCCACATAGAGCGTCTTAAACTGGCTTGGTACACTACGCACGCGGAATAAAGGGACGGCATACAGCGGGAACCAGGAGCCAGAGTATTTACTCTTTGAAGATGGATTGGCAAGACAACTATCGGAAAGGTTAGATACAAAATAAGCCTCTCCCACTGAACGTCCTTCTCCTTCTGACTTACCACCGGAGAACCGAATTTTCACTACTATTACTATCAAGGTATTTCTAGACGAACTATCCAGTCAGGTATATAGTTATTTCCGAGAGTGGGCTACACCTTCATAGACTAACTGTTAGACAGACAAAAACTAAGCACGAACTAAAAACACATTGAGCTATGTTGTCAGCACTGCAGTCATGGATGTTCGCCGGACCTTCTCTTTCTTATTACCCCTTTCTGAGGTACAAGCGTTTTATAGAACTATTGACATTTCACATTTATTTCTACTAGTCCTTCGCTGTCTCCTCAACCCCCTACATTTCTCACCGCACGTACGAATTGCCTTATAGCAGCTTTACGGCTCCCCTGTTACTTTTTGCCTACTGCTCTCTTATATTCACCCTTGATTGATCCGATTTTTTTTTCCACAGCTATTTAACAGACGGCCTTGATATATGTCCCTTCATGGGCGTTCTCTTCTCGAAAATATGGAGCTATTTTCGTCCTGAGGGCACAAAACTAGTTATTGTGGGCCTTGACAACGCGGGAAAATCGACTATACTGTACCAGTTTGTGCTAAACGAGGCCGTGCAGACCTCGCCGACCATTGGCAGCAACGTTGAAGAATTCAAGTGGAAAAATTTGCACCTAGTTATGTGGGATCTGGGCGGCCAGGAATCCCTGCGACCAACGTGGAGCACGTACTATGCCGGGTCTGAGGTAATGAGCCTTTGCCTTTCTAAGCACGCCTGCGTAGTTTGTCATTCTAGTGATTGACAGCACTGACCGTGATCGGCTGCCAATTTCAAAGTCTGAACTCTACAACATACTGGCTTCAGAGGTACCGTTGTCTCCACAACCCTAATATCGTTTCACTGTAGGACCTGCGAAAGGCCAAGATATTAATTTTTGCCAACAAACAGGACGTGATCGGCTGCATGTCGGTGGCTGAGGTTGGCCACAAGCTGAATTTGACATCCATAAAGGACCACCCATGGCATATACAAGCGTGCTGTGCCCTCACTGGCGAAGGGTAAGAATTAACTCTGGCATATATATCCTATGCGCAAATATTCGGGGTCCAGATATCCTATCGTGCTAATCATCCCCGGAAGAGGAAGAAGAAGAGGGGGCAAGTGCTGGGACCAAATTG